AGAGATGTGTCCTGGGTCACAGAGAGTGCACATCTGCATCGTTTAGAGGCCCACAAGTCACGGCAGCCGGCTCAGAGCCCCCCAGTGAGGGCTCTGCCCATGCCTCTCCCCCAGGCCCCGCGTGTCTCGTTTTCTCCCACTGAGCCCTGTGCCTCCTCCCGGCCCTCTGCCCCCAGCACCCTGCTTTCTTGCTCTGTGTGGCGATCCCCAAGGCACTTGTCACTGTCTCTGCCAGGGCTGGGGCCTGGCCCTCCTGCTCAGGGTGACTCTCCTGCCACATTCGATCCCCTCTCTCTTCCCTGCTCTTCCCCAGAGGCTCCTACCCTGTGCTGCTCCTGAGGGAGTGCTTCCGAGCCCTAAGCTGGCTGCCATCCGCAGTGCCGGTGGGGAGGCGGGGCTGCTGGTGGCCAGCGTCGTCCCTCGGACCCTCTTCTTCTGGGCCACGCACACCACCGAGGCGTGGGCCTCGGGGCCTTCTCACGGGGCCTTCCTGGGGTGAGCCTGGTGACGGGGGCTGGTCCCGGTTGTGGTCTCATCCTCCTGCATCGGCTCGGCCCATGGGTCAGATCCACAGCGCTACCTCACAGGCCACATCTTCGGAGACAGACAGACGTGGGATGCGGCGCAGACGGTGAGGCCTGTGGCCTGCAGACTCTGCAGCGGGCGGGACAGCGGGTGCTGCTCAGCCCTCCCCTTCGGACTCTGCCACAGAGTGCCGCCTGGGCGACTGCGGGCCGGCCTGGGACAGGTGCACGCCCGGCAGGGCTGGGCCCCGTAGACAGAGCCGCTCCTTTCTTCTCCGGATTCTCTGCTGCGTCCGCTCCCAAGATCCGCTGCTGACATTGCTTCGCGCCCCAGGAAGGGACAAACTGCTGCTTCCAGCCCTGCCCTCCGGCCCTCTTGCTGGGGGCTGCTGTGACCGCCCCCGGTGGAACACCGTCCTCTCCTTCCTCACCCCCTTGGCCAGGTGCTGGGTGCTGGACAGGCTGGATGCCTGTGGTCGTGCTGGTCGGCTCTGGCCGGTGGGCCACCCTCCCAGTGCAGTCCCGGTGCAGCCTGGAGTGACCACTTCTGAGCCATGCCCCCTCTGACTCAGCCTATCGTGCTGGAGAAAGGTGACCGTCCTCTACCCTTCTGAGACTTGATGGACTTCAGTAGGACAGTCGGGGGGCGGCGGAGGGGACAGCAGAGAGACAGCTGAGGGCCATCGGGGGCCGGCGGAGGGACACTGAGGGCCATTGGGAGCCGGCGGAGGGACACTGAGGGCATCGGCGGCCGGCGGAGGGACACTGAGGGCCATTGGGAGCCGGCGGAGGGACACTGAGGGCATCGGCGGCCGGCGGAGGGACACTGAGGGCATCGGCGGCCGGCGGAGGGACACTGAGGGCATCGGGGGCCGGCGGAGGGACACTGAGGGGCAGCAGAGGCCTCGGGGTACCTCTCGGTGTCTCTTCTTTGTTGTCCCCAGTGCTTGGAGCTGCCTCTTGCGTATTGGTTTCATGCCCTTGAGGGGCCTCCGGTGCTGCCCCAAGGCTGAGTTCTGTGGCACCGGGGGGAGGGCAGGCATCCCCCCACTTCTGCCAGAGCTGCTCAGCTTTCGTCTGTGTTATGCACATTGAATTTTGCTTGATTTCCCCGGGAAAGAGTTCCATTAGAGAAGAAAACTAGGATTTGAAAACCCCTGGTGGGCGTTAGCGCTGGAGGCGGGGCCTTCTGATGGGCTGTTTCTTTAGATCTCGACACCTGTCGGGGACCGTTTTCACATCATTTGAGAGGGAGAGGCCAAGGTTGGGGTTAGGTGAGATGTGAACGGGTGAGAGAATGCTCTGTCACCCAAGTGCAGAAGCAAGGGGCGTGGGACCCGTGGGCAGGGGCACCCCCAGAGGTCATCTTGGGTCACTGCATGCAGAGGGTCCCTGCTGCCCAGCATGGGGAGAGACCGGCTCCCGGCCAGGGCCCTGGAGCTCCAGGCGGGTGTTGAGGGGGGGCGAGCATAGAGGGGCCCTGTGCCCCGAACAGCAGTTTTCAGACAGACAGAGGGGCCAGAGTGCCCACCCCAGGTCGGGAGTGCTCAGCGCTCGTGTGGACGTTGAGGTGGCCCTGAGAGATCAGGTGGGCTGACATTTTTCCCCTTTATGGAGGGGGACAAGGCTCAGAAAGGTGACAGGAACCTCCTCCCATTTCATAAAAACAAAATGGGACAGCTGGGGACGGACCTGAGGTCCGACTCTGTGTGGCCAGTTTCATGCATTCAGGTGGCCCCGGGGTTGGGGACCGGATGGCGGGGCCCGAGTGAGGGAAGGGCGCCCGGCCCCCCTCCCGGCATGGAGGAACGGCTTGCTCAGCGGGCAAAGGCCTCTGCTCTTCAGCCGCCAGCCCTCCCGCTAACGCGCTCAGTGCAGAGTTGAATGAGCAGTTTCGCGTCCCCAGAATTTCCCACTGGACAATGTGCAGTCCCAGATCCCTGCCATAACTCGAGCCACAGGAGTAAGGCCTCCTCTGATTTGCTCTTCCTCTGCCCTCCCACGGCCGCAGCACCCACAGCTGGGGTCAGCCCGCCTGGGGAGCCCGTCCCAACCGGCAGAGACTTGTCCGCCTCCCGCGGCCCGCCTCTCGCCTCCTCTCGCCCCCTCCGCCTGACCGCGGGCCACCCAGCTCTCCTTGTCGTGCTGTGCAGACACTTGGAGTTCATACTGGGTTATCCATCGCATCCTCAAAGGGAGAATCACTGGTGTTTAGACCTTGGAGGTAACTGCCCTGTATCTGTCCTCCCCCCTCCCGCCCCGGGGGGCTCCCGGGCAGGCCGCCTGGGCCCAGATGCCGCCACACCTTGACCTGGCATCTGGCATTCCGTTAAAGAAACAAGCTGAGGTTATGGGGGGGGGGGGAGTGGGCAGGGGGCGCTTCCTTCGCACTGAGACTAATTCTCTCTCTTCCAATCACACATCCTGATGTTTGACAAGTTTAAATCATGCGGCCACTGTCAGCATGCCCCATCTGTCCCGTTCTGTCTCCCTTGTCCTCAAGCACGGTGCACTTTTGAGGCCTTGGGGGTGAAGAGGCCACACCGGTGCCCACGATTGCTTTGACTCTCATTTGGCCTTGCCTGCAGCTCACCTCTCAGAAGAGAGGTCTCCACGTGTCACGGGCTCCCCAGCTCTGCCTGAGAGCCCATACCACACCCAGGAAGCTTCCATGAGGTCGAAGCCGGAGGCCACCAGTGGGTCCTCCCCGCATTTCTTCTGTGTACCCCCAGAGCATGATAGAAGTTGCCCTAAGAGATTCCAGAGAAGAATCAGGGAGCACTTAAAAGAGGCATCACCTTGGTGAATAAATGGCGTGTTTCAGGAGTTGGGCGTCGATCCTTCTGTGTAGCCCCTCCCCAGCCCTGCCTCATCAGACCTGCTGCAGTGGGGTTAGAAGTTGCTGCCCCCCACGAACCCCACCTCGAGGTGTAGGGCAGCGACCTGAGGAGCTTGTTTCATCTCTCCTTGTCTCCCTAGTGGAGAGAAGAGCATCGATTCAGGATGTTAGGGCCTTGAATCTTTCTTTGTGCTTTGTAACGTCCTTTACAACCCTTCATGAAGGTCATTAAGGAGAGTGTTGAACTGGTTGGAAAAGGTGGAGGGCTCTCTTCCACTCGGTGCTCCCAACTCGCAGGAGCTGCGCCTCCCTTCGTGCCGGTGGACACGGACCCCACTGTTCCTTTAGTTGTACTGGGGGGGCGCCCGGCTGACTCCGTCAGTATAGAGTGTGACTCTGGATCTCGGGGTTGTGTTTGAGCCCCACGTTGGGTGTGAAGATTAGCTAAATATAAGTCTTAAAAAAATTAATTTTATTAGAGCCAAACTATTTAAATAATTTTATTTGTTTCATCCTTTGGTAGATGAGAAAAATACATTACAAAATACATTATACAGAGGACAGCTCACAGTACACATTACTAAGAACACAATCTACATTCCAGCCAGGGCTGGTGGTAAGTTCAGAAGAAAGCCACAGAGGCCTCGAGACCCAGATTCCAGCTCTGTGGAGTGTTCCCCCGGGGCCCCTCTTTATCTCAGCCTCCGTGTGTACCAGCACCCGTATCAGGTGGGTGTGGGCAGAGTCCGAGCCGGCTACCTCTCCCTGCACCAAAGCAGCAACTTAGGATCCCCCCCCGGGGCAGGGGGTAGTGTGAACGGCCAGGGTCTCCAACAAAGCGTGATAGAGGGCTGGTGTGCTGCGGGTGCGCACACCAGCCTTGGCCAGCCTTGCCGGGCCCACCACCCAGGCTGCGGGCAGGTGGGGCCCCGAAACAGGCTCACTGGCCAGGAGGAAGGCAGCACCTGGACCCTGCAGGTCCGCACAGCACCGCACGGCCTCCCCACCCCACTCTCCCCTGACCAGCAGTTCCCAGAGCCGGGGTGAGGCCCCGGGTGCCCCGAACAAGCCCCTGGAAGCTAACGTTTCCAGCAGGACCCACCTCAGGCGAGCGGCTTCAAAGAACCCATGATTCTCCAAGCCAGGCAACTTGCTTCAGAGCTCTGCCCATCTTCCCGCACAAGCCTGACGAAGTGAGAGGTCCAAGAGGTCACTTGGGGCCAGCAGAGGCCTTTCCGAGGGAGGGGAGCCAGGGAGCACCACATCCCCCACCCCTCCATTCATTTGGAAGCAATTCTCTGAAGTGGCCTCTCCAGCCTCCGTCCTCACTTTTTCTCAGAAATTTGGAAACATTTGTGACTGGGTAAGAAAAGGCGTCCTAAGGATCAAGGGCATCGTCCCGGCCTGCTCCGTTGTGGCCTAGCGGGCCGGGCTCTGCATTCCGAGGGGCCAAGTGCTGGTCGCTCCGGGGGCCTCCGGGAGAAACCTGGGGGGCGAGCCAGGCGAGCCTCAGCAGCAAAGTGCAGCCCCTCCTCCGAGCTGCCGGGCCCTGCCCCTCCCCCACCGCCCAGGCAGCGAGGGGGGGGACGGGGGGGCGGGAGGGGGAAGAAAAAGAAGGATGAGTCAAGACCAGCATCTTCAAATTAACAAACTGTAATTGTTTTCCCAAAGATACATTTTTTTTCATACACATCCATCATACACTGTAACCAAAAAAAGCAGTGTACATGAAATAAGAGAAAATAAATTAAAAATCCATAGCATAGGTAAGGAGGCTCTAGTCTGGAGCACAGCTGAGTTTCCAGCAGTAGAAGGAGGCTCGAAAGTTCTTTTGTAAGAATGCCTGCTAGCAGGGGTTCCAGCCAGGTGGCGGGCTGGTCTGTAAGTCGGTCTGGAGTACTTGAAACGGGTCTGTGTTTTTTCCTTAGCGTTTAGAATAGCCATCATTGTCCTGCAATAGGCAGAGCTATCACGTCCAGGAAAAACGAGGGAGGGAACCACAGAGGCAGCGTGAGATCCGAATACAGCATTCAAAGGTAATTGGTCCAGTGGCGCTGGGGGAGGTGGAGGCACGGCCCTCCAGGGTTAGCCATCTTCCTTGGGGGGTGTGTACCAGCCTGCAGAGAAGCCAGGAGACAGTCGCGGGGTGCAGGCCCGAGCCCACCCTCCCAGCCCGGTCCCCGAGGGCACCTCCAGGGTCATGGATGGGACGATCCCAGCAAGGGCTTCCCAGTGCGGGGGCTGGGGGACCGTCTGCTGTGACAGGACACGGTGGCATGAGCTTTCTGGAAGGGAGCTGGGGCAGAGGGCAGCCACCGAGCCCCCCTCCCCCCAAGCACGACGGGCTGGCGGTGCTTTTCTGGGGAGGGAGGGAGGGGACGGCACCACGTCCAGCCCTTCCCTGGAGAACAGGGGCAGGCGTGGTGGTAACGGGTAGCAAAGCCTCAGGAACCGAAAGCGGGGCTCCTGCTCTCTGGCAGGAAGTGACGTTCTCGGGCCCTGGCCGGGGCTCACCGTTCTTCTCGTGGATCTGCACCAGGGACTTGTACGACTGCTGTGCTCTCGTCAGGCTGTACTGGGACTGGGACAGGAGGCCACCATCAACACGGCCAGCCGTGCCCCCCTCCCCCACAGCTGCCGGCCAGAGACCCCGCGGGACCCTCTGCCCACAACCCCCTGCTCCCAGGACCACGCGGCGAGGCGCCAGCCAGAGGCCCCATCCCAGCCGTCCTGAGCGCAAGCAGCCCCGGGACCTGGCTCCTCACTTTGTTGGCTCCAAACTGCACTCGCGCTTTCCCCTTCACCAGCGTGGCGCTGATCTGCATGATCACAGATTCTATGGAGTAGGCGCTGCTCCAGCCCTGGGAACACGGAGCGACGGAGCACACAGGTCAGCAGACTTTCCAGAGGCACCTGACGCCTGCCCCCCAGGGCAGCTGCGTGGGGAGGGGGCCTTGCCCTGCACTCCGGGAGGAGCCAGCAGCTGTCGGCAGGGGGCAGTGGGTGCAGGCCCCGCCCCGCAGAACGAGAGAGCCATGTAATGCCCGCCCCACCCCGCCCCCCGGCCCGGCATCAACGCCGACGTCGGCACCCCCTGCCCAGGCCGCCCAGAGTGAGCAGCGGGCTCACCTGCTTGGTGAGAAGTTCCATGCAGATGGCGCCTCCGCCCAGAACGTACCTGCAGAAGGAAGGTCAGTGAGGTGGCTGTGCCTGGCAAGAGCTGCAGGCCCCTTCCCCGCCCTCCGCCTTCGCTGAGCCACTCACCCTCCGGAGAGGACTGGAGACACAACCCTGACGAACGGCGGGTCGAAGGGGAAGTTATCCTACGAGGGAGACAGAGATGACATCAGGGGGGGCCCACGTCCCCCCAGGACTGCCCTCCACAAGGCAAGGAAGGCGCCTGGCTGCAGAGGGAAGTCTTACTTTGAAGGAAAAGTTAAGTAGGATGAAGTCAGCTCCTTCTTTCTCTTTGAGGATCTGGAGATCGTTGTGCAAAGCGCTGTCCTGGTCGACTCTATGAAGTAAGAAGTATGGGCTCAGACCCCTGGTCCCAGCCCAGGGGCCCTAAAACCGCTCCAGCTCCCCTGGGCCACTCCCCGCCCACCGCCCGTCTGCACTCACTTGAGGAGTTTGACGTTCCAATCATACAGACTGTCATTCACAAGTTCGACTGCATAGTTTCCTGGGAAGAGAGAAGACAGGTGTCGTCAGGACAGTCCGAGGGGGGGAGGAGCCCGATGCAGCCCCTTTCCCAGGCTGACCGAACAGAGATCAAAGGCTCCAAGTCCACCCCACACGGACACGCACCCAGTCTAAGCCACTGGCTTGAGGCGCCGGATTCGTGGCCTCGAAGGTTCACGAACTTTCACATAGCTAAGAACTTCTCAAGGCCCCTCTGTGACCCATACTCACCGCCTTTGAAACTCTGTGACCGGTATATATCCCTGAGCTCCTTCATCAGCCGGTCAGTGGCCTGCACCGAGCCAGACACCGCGCCCTGGACGGGAGAGGACACACGTGCTCTGGAGACACACGCCTGGGCGGCCCGGCAGCTGTCCTGGACCAGGCCGGGCTCAGACACCCCACAGCCCACCTGAGGAGAGCCTCTGCCCCCCCGACGGACGTGCCAGGGCCTACCCCCACCTCCCAGCCGGCCCCACCAGCCCCCACCCGCCCCTCCCGGAGAAGGCACGTACGTTTAAGTAATCTTGCCTCTGGTTCTTCTTAATCTTCTCTAGGATGGCCAAGTTTTCCTTCCCGATGCCGTCGTCTTCAGATTTCTTGCCCTCAGCTGGCTCCTCCTCTTTCATTTCATAGTGATCTAGGTCTTCCGTGTCCTGGGGGAGGCGCGGGGCGGGTGGGAGAGAGGAGAGAACCGGCACGGGTTGTGCAGACGGCCCGCCGCTCTCCCCGCCCTGTCCGGCCTAGAGCCGCAGGCGAGGGAACAGCCACGTGTCCAGCAGGCTGGTAAACACGGAGCCTCTGCATTTCTGGAGCAAGTCCCAGCCCCGCTCCCTCCACGATCTGAAGGTCCCAGGCGGCAGAACCACGCAAGGACCCGGGGAAGGCAAGCAGGGACTCAGCTGTCTTGTTCCCTAGAATGACCCTGCTCCAGCCGTCCCTAAACCTCTCCCCTGGCAGCGACAGTCCCTTGGTAATTCCTAGAACGACTCGGGCCTGATGCTGTGACTCAAAGTTCACGTCCCACTGGGTCACTAGGGTTCCTGGGAGTTCTGAGGACTCTGGGTCTAGTGGGTACCCGGGTCAGAAGAAGTCTCCCGCCCGCCCCGTCGGCAGGCGGAGGCACCTGCTCCCGACGTGGGAACGAGGGAGGTGGGAGAGGTCAGGAACAGAAGGAGCCCCTCATGCACCCTGCTCCAGGTGGGCAAGCAGTTAGCTCGCTGCGCGTGGGGTGGCACACGGGCTGCCTGCCTCACGCAGCAGCAGCGACCCCAAGGCCCTGGAGCGAGCTGCACGCTCCAGCAGAACGTGGTAGCTACTAGCCCCCGTTGTCAACTTGGCTGCCCACACCCCTGGAATGCCTGCCACGTGCCAGGTGCTGTACCAGGCACTGCGCTCTGGCTCGGCCACTTCGCACAATCCGCACGCTGCCCTTCTGTCATCAGCCCCGCTCCCCAGACGAGAAGGCGGAGGTCGGTGAGGTTTACCATCACGCCCACAGCCACACCACCCTCAGCGCAGCTATGACCTGACTCCCGTTCCACATGGCCCTGAAGCTCAAGTTCTTGACCGCTGCGTGACATTCTGCGAGCGCGTCTACATTTTCAGGGACCAGACTGAGAGGATTTTGCGCTTATCACCCACTGCGTGGGGCACTGCACACACAGCACCTGGCTGCCCATTCACAGGAACCCCCTGTAGTCGTTACGATCCCGTCTTACAAGCGAGAAAACCGCAGCTTAGGGGACCAGGTCGAGTTCCCCAGTCCGACACCGGATGTGCACGTGGATCCGAATGCAAGGCCCCTGACGCTACCCGTGACCGCGTGGCCTAAAGACACAGGTGTGGGGGGCGCCCCGTCTCCTACGACTCTGGCTGCTCCCCAAGTCAGTCAGGCTCTCCTCAGTCCCCCCCAGTCTAGCCCGCAGCGCCGTAAACAGCGGGTGCTCAATGCTGCTGACTGCCAA